CCCCCCCCCCCCCCCTAGACAGCGACGGGGAAAAGCCCGGGAAGCCCTTGGCCCCACCGCGCCTGGGCGAGCTGACAGTGACCGACGTGACCTCCAGCTCCCTGCTCCTGCACTGGACGGTCCCGGAGGGCGAGTTCGACTCCTTCGTGATCCAGTACAAAGACAGGGACCAGCCCCGGGTGGTGCCTGTGGAGGGGCCCCAGCGCTCGGCCCTCATCACCAACTTGGATGTGGGCCGCAAGTACAAATTCCTCCTGTACGGCTTTGTGGGCAGGAAGAGGCACGGCCCCCTGGCGGCTGAAGCCAAGATCTGTAAGTGAGAGCAGTCACGCGTCGCCCGCCTGCCCTGCCCTGCGGGGTCCTCCAGGGTTCTCGGTGCTTTGGAAACTCCAGGAGGGCTTCCTGGAGGCAGGGCTCCCTGAGAGGAATCCTGAAGGGAAAACAGGCGGAGAGGCTGAGGAGGGCAGTGCAGACAGGGAGGCAGGGTGAGCGATTCTGTAGGAGGGCCCGTGTCTGTTTCCTCGCTGGGCAGCAGGCGCCTGGGCAGCTGAGCGTGCTGGTCTCATGTCTGACAGGAGCTTGGACCTTACTTCAGGGCCCTGGGGGCCTCTGAGGGTTTCAGTGGGGAGAGACACGATTCTACATGTATCTTACAAGGTACACGGAGGCTCTGGGGAGGGAACCTGGAGAAGTGAGTTCCGTGGGAGCCGGCAAGAAATGGCAGTGCCTGGTGGGGCGGGCAGTGAGTCGATGCGGGAGGTGAAGGAGACGAGGGGCTCAGGCGCCCGGCCTTTCTGGGTCAGACAGTCCCGTCCCTGAGGCCGGGGGCAGAGGTGAGGAACAGCAGCGGGCGCTTAGCGCCTCCCAAGCATTTGCTGAGGCCACATGTGCTCCGGAGGCGCTGGGTGACTGGCCCCCATCCTCAAGCAGCCGGGCGGGAGGCGTGCCCATGCTATAGACCGGAGAGTGGAGGCACAGAGAGGGCACTCAAGCAGAAAGCGAGAGCCTGGAGCTATGCTGCTGCCCTCATGGTAGTGGGCAGTGGAGGGGAGACCTGAAGAGGGGGTGTGGGGTCATCAGTGCCAGTGGGCAGGAGCAGGGTGAGCCCGTGAGAACGTGGGGATGGCCAGCACTCCGGGCACCACAGAGAGAGAAGAGCCCACAGGGCAGCCCAAGGGGTGACTTGGAAGAGGGGCAGAGCCGTCCTAGATCCAAAGGAGGGTGTGGCCAGACATGTCACATTCAGAGCTACAGTGTCCACAGGACTTCACAGTTCCAGCTCAGCACTGCCCCGGCGAGAGCTGCGGGGGGCTCAGCACTGCCCTGGGGAGAGCTTGGGGGGGTTCAGCACTGCCCTCAGCACTGCCCTGGGGAGAGCTGGGGGGGGTTCAGCACTGCCCTGGGGAGAGCTGTGGGGGTCAGCACTGCCCTGGGGAGAGCTGGGCCTGGAGGTCGGGCAGGGTCTCCAGGGTAGACCTCTCTTTCTGGAATCTGTGCTGGGAACAGCGTGGGGTGGGGAGTGGGGGCAGACACGTGGAGGAGGGCAGGAGAGGAGGATGGGGGTCCCAGGGCAGGGTGTGGGAGGCTCTCCCACATCCATTCGCTCCATGAATGGTGCCCCCCCGCCCCCGCCGAGAACCCAGCTAGTGGATAGTAGTGAAGCCGGAAGCAGGGGGCAGCTTGCAGCACCCCTTTGGCCATGAGACGGGCAAAGCGCTCCTGGGCCCCCTCGCCTCTGAGGCCCCTCCCCAGCTGGGGCCACACCAGCCCCTGGTTCAGGAGAAGGTGCCCTTCCTCCCGGTGGGCACAGCCCGTGGCGGCACACAGCTTGGCAGGCGGAGGGTGGCTGGGCCTGCCGTCAGTGTGCCCCCGGCAGGGAGCCTCCTGCACAGCCTCACGCAGCCTCTCCTCTGTGTCCCCCATTCTCTGTGCTCCCTCCCCCAGTGCCTCGGAGTGATCCCAGCCCAGAGACCCTGCCCCGCCTGGGCACGCTGTGGGTGACGGAGCCCACCCCACACTCGCTGCGCCTCTCCTGGACGGTCCCCGAGGGCCACTTTGACTCCTTCGTGGTTCAGTACAGGGACAGGGATGGGCGGCCCCAGGTGGTGCCCGTGGAAGGGCCCGAGCGCTCCATCACTGTCTCCCCGCTGGACGCCGACCACAAGTACAGATTCACTCTGTTTGGGGTTGCCAACAAGAAGCGGCACGGCCCCCTCTCAGCCGAGGGCACCACTGGTGAGGGCAGCACCTGCGCCCGCGACCCTCCCAGCCCCCCTTCCACACACTCCCCTCAGCCAGGCCCC